CAGTCTTGGGCCTGCTATGTTACCTCTTTTCTAATTCATTTCATATTTGTACAGGAGAAATGTTACAGTGTTAACTGTACCTGATTTTTAACGGACACATACAGCAATTTTTAAAAATTTAAAATCTAGCATTCAATTAGAGATGCACTGCCTTGACTGGCACCCACTAATGAAAATTGCTGTGATTTTGAAATAATTCACTTCCTTTAGATATTTCAGATTTTCTTTCTTTTCTTGTAAAATGAGGTCTTTCCCTCAAACCAACAATTTTGTAGTTGTTAAGATAAAGGAATCAAATATAACATCTAAAGCAAATGGATCTTCTTGGAAGAGTTCCTGGTCTCCTCTTTAAATGCCATCTGGGTGCTACAGCAATGCTTAGGTGTTCTGGGCATGTCATCTCACCAAATCCTCACAACACCACAACAGTGATGGTTTCTATTTTACATACGGAAGTTTTGAGATTCTACGTAACCCATCCAGGTTTACCACGGTGGACTGGGGTTTAGGCTTAGACCCATTGCATTTCAAATCCTTGCTCTTAGCTTTATAACAATTATCTTTACCTAACGTCAAAGTCACAGTGATCTCCCTCATACTATATGGCTTTTTGGTTTGGCTATACAGAGCCCTATTTAGACCTGATCAAAATCTTGGCATTGCACTTACCAGCTGAGGTGACCACAGGAAAGTTAGTTATGCTTTCTGAGCTTCAGTTTATCTACAAAATGGGACCCCTACCTTATAGACTTGCTGTGATAATTAAATAATATATTTAGAAGCCAACACATATTTGCTGAATAAATGACTGCCTACAATGACAGAGTAACTGACTTGTGGGAAGGGAAGTAAGCCAAATCAACATAACTGAGGTAGGAAGGAAGCCGTAGACAAGTGCCCTTACCACCAGGTGTCACCACTAGCCCAGGAGCACCTGTCTAACTGCCTGGCTTCGGGGGTGGGATCCTGCAGCAAAACAGTCTACGCGGAAGGGTAAGACTGTCATTTGCACCAACAGGACCTTCACGAATTGGCTTACGCTTTTCAACAAGTAAGAGACGGTCCAATATTTTTGCACCAAAATAGGTTACATTCTTCTCTTACAGGTGTTTAAAATATTAATTAGCTGAATATTCACAGATGCGTCACCACAGTTTGATTTTAAAAACCATTTTCAGTGAACTATTAATTTCATATATCCTTTGGTTTAGCCAGCAAGACATTTTCTGGCTTCCATAGGCTTCAATATTGCCCCAGCAGACAAGTTTCTAGCCCCAATTCCACAGTCCAGTGACATTATTTCCTTATTAATGGGATGACTGAATTTTTTTTTTAAAGTAGAATATTTTTACGGCAAAAACGAAGTCTAAGACCAGTATATATGGGCAAAATAAACATTAACTTTTAACCGTTCTTGATCTCAGGAACTCAAAAGTTCATTTAAAAAAAGTGTTACATATACATATTTCAAAGAACGCACCTTAGGGTACATCTGGCAACCTGTGAGTAGCTCTGAAATTACTCAAGAAACACTGCCACACGTGGCTTCATTCTGTAACCTGCTAATGCCTCTCTCTGGGAGTGCCCAGGGGTTCATTTCAAAATGAGGGCAGGGCCTGGGTTCCCCGTCTGGCTCTAAATCCTCCACACCGAGACCCACTAGTGGCCACTTCAAGACTACAATTCAACCAGCATTAGCGCGTAACTGGAGACGCCGATCTCTGATGAGGCACAAACCGTGGTCTCGTTTGCCAGGAGCACCTGACTCAAGTCAAGCCTGGCCAGGCCTACTACCCCAGCCTCAGACTGGGTGGCCAAGTCCCCCTGTAACCTACCAGGGAGAAGGAATTGTGCTAAGTACAGGTTTCTGTTCAGAGAGCTGGGCTCTTGGAACTCCAGCAGTTTGGGTTATTTTTGTTTTTAACAGCTCAAGTTCTACTTTGCATTTCACAAACATGGAAACGTCTTAAGAGAAACCAGAAGCATCCTCTCCCTCTGGCCATTGCTCCCATTCCTAGAGGATTTGGGAGGGAAGAGCAGATACCAGCACCATCTGGAGTCAGGAGCGCAGGAGCCAAGGCCAGTTGAGATGAACCCATTTGCAAAGCACTTTGCAGATCAATAAATTCAACTGATTTCAGAGCAGTCTCTAGGGAAAGGCAAGCAAATGGGCCAAGGAGAGATGCTGCCCATCCAACAAGCCCTGGCCAAGCAGCCAGGGGCGAGGCGGCGCGGGGAACGAGTTACCTGGAGGACTCGGCGGTGAAGCTGCCGCCGTCCAGCAGCCGCATCTTGCAGAAGAGGACCCCGTTGACGAAGGGCACCGAGGAGAGCTCCTCGAGCTCGAAGTCCACCTTAAACTTAAACTTCTTCTTCTTCATCATCGTGAGAGCCAGGCGCCTGCCAGCAGGGCGCACGGCCAGGCGCCGCCGTCTCAGCTCGGCCGAGCCCCGGATCCGCCCAGCCCCATGGCCAGGGCCGCGAGCTGCGCGCGGGGGCGCGGCCGGGGGGCGCCGCAGGCCGGCCGCGGCCGGGGCCGCCGCCGCCGCTCCCTCTCGCGGCAGCCTGGGCCGGAGCGCGGCGGCAGCTGCGGCGCGGACCCCGGCCGCCCGCGGGAAGTGGTCGTGCTGCAGCTCGCCTGGGGAGGTGGGCGCCCTTTCGGTGCGCAGCTCGCCGCCGCCTCCGCCGCCGCGGCCGCCCGTCTGAGAGCCTGGAAAGGCGAGGCTCGAGCAACGGCCGCCTAAGCGCCTCGGGGGTCCGGGGCGCCCCCAGCGGCCGCGGCCTGCAGCGCAGGGCGGGGCGGAAGCGGGAGGGAGGGCGGAGACTTGTGGGCGGGCGCGGGCTCCGCGGCGGACTCTAACCCGCGACGGCAGTTAACGCGTCACGCCTTTCTGGGGTTGAGCGAAGACAAGCCCGACCGAGAAAGCTTCCTTCTACCGCTTCCTCTCCGCCTTTCTTTTCAGTTTTTGCACCGCCTCCTTTCTCCCCACCCCCTCCAGTGATTTCTTTCCTTTGGGTTTGAAAGCCATGGGTTATATAGAGGCAGTTAAAATCTCCTCAGCGTTGTTTTGGTCAAATTGAAATCCTAAAACCAAAATTTCCTTTAGGTACTCCAAATTCACGAGCCTTCAAATATAAAAGGAGGATAAGGTAGGAAAAAGGAAAAGGACGTGCTGAGGGCCTCTCAAGTGCCCAGGCACTGCACTGCTGCAGGCGCTTTCTCTCGTGTATAGCTTATCTAATTCCTGTCATCCAGGACAAAAGATAAAAGAGCAAAGAAGCAGTAAAAATAATACCTTCCCTTTGAATATTTGTCTATACTGAGAACTGAAATGCTTAAAATCAAATTCTGCAGGGAGCCTGGGGTGGTGGCGCACGCCTGTAATCCCAGCTCCTGGGGAGGCTGAGGAGGGAGATTAGCCTGAGCCCGGGAGGCGGAGGTTACAGTGATCCGAGATCGCGCCACTGCACTGCATCCTGGGCAACAGAACGAGACCCTGTCTTAAAAACAAAACAAAATCTTCAGGGTAGGCTTAAAAAAAAAATCTCCCTAGGTAGGTGAATGACAATTACCTGCCTTCTGTAATCATGCATGTATTGTTACAATTAATGTTATAAACTTGGTTGCATGATGTTCATATTTTTAAACTGAGTTATTGTTCTTTTCACTCAGATTCTGTCTCAGTAATCGCTGAACGAGTTTAATTGAAAAGATTTTCTTTCTGTTTACTTATTTACTCATGCTTTCATATAAAAAATTTGAAATGTCAATCATTGGCTGGACCTAATAACCAAAATGCAATAACTGCCCTCAAGAATTTTACAATCTAGTGAGGAAGACATGTTTAGACAGGTTATTAAAAAAACCAAAGCCTAGGGGCCGGGCGCGGTGGCTCACGCCTGTAATCCCAGCATTTTGGGAGGCCGAGGCGGGTGGATCACGAGGTCAAGAGATCGAGACTATCCTGGTCAACACGGTGAAACCCCGTCTCTACTAAAACTACAAAAAATTAGCTGGGCATGGTGGCGCGTGCCTGTAATCCCAGCTACTCAGGAGGCTGAGGCAGGAGAATTGCCTGAACCCAGGAGACGGAGGTTGCGGTGAGCCGAGATCGCGCCATTGCACTCCAGCCTGGGTAACAAGAGCGAAACTCCGTCTCAAACAAACAAACAAAAAACCTATGTAGAACTCAGAGAAACAATTGAAGTTAATCAGTTTTCTGAATTTCAAAGGATGAAAATGATTTAGGACAAAGTGGGATAAGGTGTTCCTGGAGGAAGAAACAGAATAAGTAAATAAATAGATAAAGACTCAGAGGCAGGTTCAGGGGTGGGGATTTGGTAATGGATAAAGCTCCTTACCCAGCAGGACAGGGGGCAAAGACAGTGAGATGCATTAGAGGACTTTGAGGTTTGTCTTTTAGGGCACTGGATGAATGTTAATTTAATTGACTGAACATTGAAAGCAGGAGGAGAGCAGGTTGGGAATGGAAGAGATAATGGGTCTTTATGGGAGTTGCTTTCAATACATATAGGGAGAGAGAGGCAGCCTTAGCTCATAAAAACGCATTGGGAATTAAAAATCTACATCTGGGAATTGAGGTAATTGCTGATGGCTGAAGCCCAAAAGGTGGATAAGGATGAGTTACCCTGAAGAATATTTAAAGGGTAGACAAAGAGGAGATCATGAAGGTGGCTAAGAACAAGCAGTCAGAGAAAGACGAGATAAAGAGATGGCCTGGAAACCCAGAGTTTTAGTCATGTAACATTCGTAGTCATAAGGTTCTGTTGTGTACAAGGCACTATCCTGGGTACTAGAGATGCAAATGAGTAAGACATAGGGGCTTATAAAGGAATGTAGAAAAAACAGATATGCAAACAGATCAGCTAAAGA